AGCCCCCCCGAACTTCTGACCCATCCAACCCTCCTCCCTGTCTCTTGACTACCCCCCCCCAGAACCTCCCTGCCGCTTCTCTGACTCCCTGGCCCCCTTACTGTGCTGCAGAGCAGCGCGCTCGGCAGCGGGGGAGGGGAGCAGGGTCGGAGCTCCAGACTGCCGGAGGCCCGAGGCGAACGGCCGGCCGGCGATCTGCGAATGCGGGGAGGGAGGGAGAGAGAGGAGGGGAGTGGTGTCAAGTTGCAGGGGAGAGGAGGGGGAAGTGGAGGAAGGGCTCAGGCTGCCGGAGCCCCGTGCGAGTGGCACGATCCGGCCGGCTGCCCTGTAAGCCACGCACGCTCTGCATGGGGGGGAAATCCGGACATTTACAAATTCCCCCCGGACGCTATTTTTAACTCAAAAAAGCCGGACATGTCTGGGGGAATCCGGACGAATGGTAACCCTAGCGTGGATCTAATCTGCGATGCAGACAGAATGGTTCCCGGATGTGTCTCAGAGCGCTCCCTCGTCTGAGCATGGGCCCAGCCTCAGCAGCAGCCCTTGGCTGGGGACAGGCTGGGCCCTGGCTCCAGACTGAGTGAGGGGTTCGCACTTTCGCTTCTGCTCATCGAATTTGATTGCCCCAGAGACGAAGGGTTTGGCTACCCTTGTGAGTTACAGCACATTAAAGGAGCTCACTGGCTCACTCCCCATCCACACTGGCAAGGCAGGTAGAGCGCTCTGACTCCACGGCTACAGCGCTACTGGTACTCCACCTCGGCAAGTAGAATAACGGTCGATGCGCCCCCACTGGAGCACCCCAGCGTCAGTGTGAACGAGGTGTTGCATTACTGCGCTCTGATTGGCGGCGGCAATTGGGGAAAAAAAAGCCGCAATCAGCGGCGGCAGTTCAGCGGCAGGTCCTTCGCTCCTAGAGGGAGTGAGGGACCTGCCGCCCCCAAATTGCCGCAAGTGCCGCCCCTCTTCCTTGGCCGCCCCAAGCACCTGCTTGTTAAGCTGGTGCCTGGAGCCGGCCCTGGTTTTGGATATGCCCTTTGAAAGCTCCATTTGACACCCAGCTGCTTATCTGCTCCGAGACAAAGCAACCATTACTGGGAATGCTGTGTGTGAGAGAGAGAGGCCGGGGGGGAGGGGAGCGGGGGGAGGGAGAGGTCTGCTGCTGTCTGAACTTACAAGACAGCATGCTGACATGTTCTCAGCCCCCTCAAACCCACTCTCTCTCCCCCCACATACACACAACACACTCCCTGTCACATTCCTCACCACCACCACCCCCCCATTTGAAAAGCACGTTGCAGCCACTTGCATGCTGGGATAGCTACCACAATGCACTGCTCTCTGTGCCCGTTGCAAGAGCTGCTAATGTGGCTATGCCAGTGCGCTGGCAGCTGTCAGTGTGGACAGACTACAGCGCTTTCCTTACTGCGCTCTATGAAGGCTGGTTTAACTCAAAGCGCTCTACAGCTGCAAGTGTAGCCATGCTCACAGGGCAAGGTGTATCAGCACAAAACGCAACCCTCCCCTTTTGCAACTGGGAACGGTTTCTGCCACGCAGCGTAGCAGTTTGGTAAACTGTTTGTTAACTTGCTATCGCCTGTCCATGGGGTTGCGAATCAGGAGGGGATGGGGTATGTGGTCAAAAACGATCCCGATCTGCTTCCTGACCAAAGTGGCCCCTTT